TGGTGATACAGATCAATATTTCCATCAATATAAATATTAGACTGGAGCTTCAGATGAACAATGAGGTGGGGTGCAGAAATGAATGAGAAGAAGACATTAGGTTGGATTACATTTGAGAAACTACAGTAATTTCAATGATTTGAAGCTGACCAATGCAAGCAAATGTTTATCAGCATCGTTCTGAGGATACTATATGGTTGTGAATTCTGGAATATCAAAACTGTAGAAGAATGAAAATTATAAGTGACTCAAAGGACAATAGAGAGATGTGTGGTGGGTGCAGTACATTGTGAATTACGGCTTTCATGTGAAAAATAGTACAAAAGACATCATCAAGAAATCTCGATTAGAAAAGTAAGTGGGCCACTGATGTGCTGAATAAAAGACAATAGGCAGACTTGATCCCTTTATACAGGAATTATGGATAGAACAGATACCATAGCATGAAGATGAGGAAGTACAACACAGTTGTAAACTGCAAAGAAGGAGGGCATAGCCATTCTAATAGAGTCATGCAAGGTTCCAGTGAAGTCTTGAAGTAAGTAATGCTACCCCAATGTTATCAAATGACAAGCTAAATGTAATGGCTTCCCTTAGACATTTTTCTTTAATTAAAACTGATTAGGCAACCATTTTCCTGAAACATGAGGGTCAACTATATAATCTCTGGAGAGCTTTCCCAAGGTGACTAAGTATGGGTTGGGGACCCTAAGCTCAGCTTTGCTGTTTGCTACCTATGTGACCTTAGGCAAACTGTTTAACCTCTCTGGCTTTCATTATCCTCATCTGTAAAATGATGAAGTCTGACAGAATGATCTCTCAACATCCTCTGAAGTTATTTAAATAAGAGGCTCTATGATGATTGAAAAGATCAAATTCAATAGAAATATTCTCCCTTTAGAAAGGAATAAAAATCAAATATTAGTCTCTAGGTATAGATAGAATAAAGTCAATTTCTATTTATCCAGAATGAATAGGATATATCATTGTTAATTTAATGTTACTTGTTAACTGACTATACCACATACAGGATACATACTAGATTTCTGATTTTCAAAAGAATAAAATTTGATAAAATACAATATAAAATTAAACTGAATTCAACAAATATGCATTTATATATATTATGTGTAAGGCACTGAAATAATGAATGTAATTTCTTTAGTTTTCAAAAATTCAGAGGACACTTTAGGATAACCACAAGGTCATCATTGTGAACATTAATTATCACACTATGAATGTGAGGAAGATTCTAATTACTTGAGTTTTCCATTGTTTGGGTTTCAGATAAACAAGACAATAGTATCTGAGGGGCCTATACCTAAATTTCCATGGTTGTTCGCTAAATTCTGAACTATATAGTTTGTCCTTTTCGCATAAATATCCTGTATCTCCTTCTAGACTCAATGCTTTGTGCCTATTTTGCATGGGTTCTATAACCATGTGTGTGTGTATATATGTGTGTGTGTATGTGTGTGTGTGTGTATGTATATGTGTATATATGTGTGTATATATATGTGTGTCTATATATATAATATGTGTATATATGTGTGTGTATATATATATATATATAAAATATGTGTATGTGTGTATATATACACACACATATATACATTACACACACATATATAGATATAGATATAGATATAGATATAGATATAGATATAGATATAGATATAGATATAGATATAGATATAGATATAGATATAGATATATCTCCCTCAATACAATGAACCTTCTCCTGAAAATAGGAATCACAAAATAAGGAAACTTCAAAAGCTGGAAGGGACTTCTTAGGACTTCTAGTCCAGGCCACATACAAAAGAATATTCTATGAGATGGCAGTAAAATGGCTGTCCAGCCTCTACTTAAAAACCTCTAATGGGGGAGCCCACCACCCCATTAGGTGGTCCATCCCCCCTTCTGGGCAGCTCTTGCTGTTGGGAAATTTCTTTCCCGATGACCAACCTAAACTGGCCTATTTCTACCTTCCCACCACCACTTCTGGGTCTGCAATCTGGGGCCAAACAGAACAGATAGTACCCCTCCTCCACACAACAGCAATTCACCTATTTAAAGAGTCTTCTCTTCTCCAGGCTCTTATATCCAGTTCCTTCAACACATCTTCATAGGTCAATTATTTCACTCTTTGGACTCAAATCCCTCAGGCCAAGCCCAGGGTAAACTCTTTATAAATCTATTCAGCTGGCTGCCTGATTCTATCATTCATCTTGTTTTCTCCTACCTACAAGGAACTTAACATTTAATTTTTGTTAAAAAATGAGAATGTGCAGTGATTACATAGCTACCGCCATGGTGCAGACCCTCGCCCTCTCTTGTCCACGTGGCTGCAGAAGCCTTCTCCGTGGTTCTGCTGCCTCGGCTTGCTACCCATTCCAGTCTATTCTACACACTGCTATCAATGAGACTTTCCTTAAACATAAACATAAACCTGTCTACACAATTAACTCCACAGGCTCCCTAGTGCTCGCTGGATCCTACCCCCTTTCCTATCATTCCAGCCCCACTGGGCCTCGTCCTGCCCTCCCCGACCCTGCCACCCAGACAAACAGGTCTTCTCTCCTTCTATAGCTCTCCTCTCTTTGAGTCTTTGCACTGGCCAACCCCCATGCCTAGAACACGTCTCCTCAAGTCTGCATCACAAAATCCTTCTCTTCTTTCAAGACTTAGCTCAAGCACCATCTTCACTTCTCAATCTGGGGTCTATGAACTTGTTTTAATATCATTTGTTTCATTTTTACTCCTATGTATTTTATTTTATGCATTTAAAACGTTATTCTGAGAAGTGATTCATAGGCACCTACCAAAGTCTACAACTCTAAAAAAGATTAAGAGTGCTTTTTCCTTTCTTTACCCCCCACCTTCTAGTGCCCTCCCTCCCAAACCAGATTGGATCTAACGCCTTTGTATTTATGTGTGGCTGTACTCATTCTATTTACTCTGTAGATATTTATTTGTATCCTCGTTCCCTCCTCCTTTAGAATGTAACATCCTTGAAGGTGAGGATGGCTTCATTCTTCGTCTTTGTATCTCCCTCTCCTCCTTCTCTCCTCCCCGGCCATGTCTGGTACACAGCAGCTGTTTAATGAATGTTTGCTGATTCTACTGCTGATTGTTAAAAAATTATTTAGGATAAAGTTGTCTAAAATCTCCTTCGAGCTTCTTAATTACCAAATATAACATGATTCTCTCGACAAGGGATAAAACTAAACGGAGCAGTCAAAATGTGTCACAACACAAGTGGCCTCACCACACGGAATTAACCAAACTTAGTCTGATTATAGAAAAAGAAGCAGGAACACACCATTTCCGGACTACAAGGGACGTGAGAGAGCATCTAGTCCAATCCTCTCACGTTATGGTTTAAAAAAAAACAACACCTGATATCCAAAGGGAGGTAACTTGCCCAAGGTCAACAAGACACAAGAACAGAAAAATTGTCTTACTCTTAAGTCAAGTGCTTTTCTGCTACATGGTGATGCTTCTTTTCCCATAACTGCCTTTCTATCTAACGATCCAAGTATTATGTTACAATGAAAATTCCCTAAATGACCTCAATACATATTTTTTCTTACACAGCAGAAATCTTCTATGGTGCCATTAGAAACAATATGAAGGAAACAAAATTGTGTGATTTCACTGTTTCATTCTTTTATAACGGTCATCTGAAATATACCTTACATCCATATGCAAAAAACCTTCCCCAAAACTGAAGGAAGTTTTATCATAATTATCTAAAAAACATTTTATAATTAATGGAAAATTGCTTCTGTTTTCTCCCAATTTGAAATTAAACTCTGAAATTAGAATTCTACTTTCGTACGTATCCCTGGCTTTATAGAGTAAATGTAATCTAGCAAATTTATAAAGGTTCATTTTCCCATTGATTTTCAAGATAAAATTTTTGACATATATTCAAATTGAAACATGACACTGAGTTGAAAGCTTTTGGCAAGGAAGAGATTACAATGGTCATCAGTTCTATAAATGCTGGACACAATGATGCACTGGTAGTCCCTTCCTAGGTGGTAACATTTTGTATCTCTATCATTCCAAGGGCTTTTCTTGATTTCAGGATCTCTGCTCTGCCACCATCACTGTCCCCTTCTCAACCATAAGGAATTCCCATACCTGGAGATTTCATAAAAGGAAAAAGGGTAATGAGCTAAAGGTCCTATGCAGCCTAGTCTTAATTAGCAATGCAAAGTCACAACCTCACTGGGCCACTGTTTTCCTATCTATAAAATGAAGGAATTGGATGAGTAGCATGGCATGGTAAGAAGAGTAAAGGACAAGGAATAAGGAGGCCCAGTTCTAGCCCTTTTACCCTAGCAGGAGAAGTTCCAGACAATCAACATGCACCTTGCCTTACAGAGGAACAGAGAAGTCTTTCCGGGACAGATTGTTCCAGGACACTGAGGGGATAGTCCTATTCTCTCTAACAGGTCAGCCAGCAAGGAAGCAATGAAGATGTTCAGGAAGCGATAATCCTCTCAATGCAAACCCCCAGGCCTTTCTTCTTCTCCAGCAGAACTACTTGCTTATGCATGATGGGTCAAAGCCATTATTTATGGCCATACAGCAGATGCACAGTAGTAAGAAATTGTGCTGGGAATTCAAGATGCTAAGAAATCTCACTACAAGTGCCTTTATCTCTCTTCACCCCTCCCCCACTGTTGATCAAACATCATCTACTGACCTGTGGGGAATGAGGCAAAAGCCACAACAGTCCTACTTGTAAAGTGATAATTAATCTCTAAAAATCACAGCCCAGGAAAGTTCCACCACCCAGAATCTCCTATCACTAACTGGACCACAAAGTTTTTGAAAGCAGTAAGCTATCTACTTCTCTAACTTCATAACTAATCTGTTTGTACATTCTTTTAAATCCTATGTACACACCACATGCTAAAAATATGAGAATTTTACACAACCAAACAGGCAGCATGTAAACTTAAATATAACTAAAATTATCTTACCTGTGTAAAAAGAATAAACTGAGCAAAGTGCCAAGGAAGCATGAAAGCGACATTAGACACAAGGAGTGCAATGAAGTCTTTCTTACAATTCTGATGAGACCTTAAAAGAGAGAATACCAACACATTTAGCCAGAAAATCTCTTACTCAAAGATAGGCAGCAAGATGGAACACCAAAATTGAAATATTGAATTGTGAAAGTCTTCTCCCTAATCCTACTCTCCTATCTTCCTTCTCCCACTCCCTTATTCCTCTAATACCCGTTTCAAGCTTCCTATCCCTTGATTCTTTTATGGTCTCCCATCTACCCTGTTTAGGCTTGATACAGAACCACCCACGCTCTTACCCTCAATCGAACTGTACCCTTTACCTCGAGGAGGCAGCAGGTGCCCCCAGGAATCCAGAATGTCATTTTAAGCTTAAGGGGCAGTCTCTTTGCCCCGACTAGGCCTGATTTTGCTGATGACAAGAATGTAAAAAGTTCAAGGCGTGAGAAAAGCACCCTTTCTTTAATGATCCTCCCTCCTCTAAAAACACTCTGATTCTAGCTTTTCACTACAGACTGCACAGTCTTAACTGATAAACATTTGTTCCTTTTACGTATAAGGCATTAACACTTATGTGTGAAATAGACTCTTTGGAGAGACAAATGTAAGCCTTACTTTCTGGTCTGTCTTCCCTGAAACTGCAGTAACCCTGGCTCCTAACCACAATTCACCTGATTAGGGAATTTGTTCCCCTTACTGGCTCCACTTTCCATCCTATGCAGATCTGAACCTGTGCTCAGCCCAATCCTTGAAGGACCTGACTTCAAATCTTGGCTTTGCTCCCCACACCCAGGACCTAATATCACAGCTCAATTTCTTCACAAAATGAGGGGTTTGGAAAGTTGATGTTCTAAGGTCCTCTGTGCCTCTGAATCCTATAAGCCAAATCTCCTCGACTTTCTACTCTTTCCACTACCCTCCACTCCAAAGCCCACATCCTCTGCTTCTCTCCTACCGTTTAGAGCTACTAACCGACTCTGACCGGCTCCACTACAAAGGCTGACTAGTACTAACGAGGCCCTCGCTGCTCCACAGCATCTTCCTCTCCTACCGTCCCCTCATCTACAGTGAAGCACAGTGAAAACTAAGTGGGAACTGGAATCTGAAAACCTGAGTTTAAATTCTCATTCTCACTCACTCAGCTGCCTGGGGTATGCCATTTTTTCACCTCTGTAGTGAGGGAGCTAGACAAGAGGACCACTAAAGTCCCTTCCAATTCAATCTCTAGGACTTTCTCCAACTATGCTACTAGTCCCTTCCCCAACACTCAGAAAAATAACCGTGACATCCCACTTTGTCAGCAACACTAAGGTTCCACCTGAATTCCTCCCGTCTCTCATTTTCTTTCTCTTGGGAAACTTCTATTCTCTCCTTCCCACTGCCTTCTCTACTTACTTTCGCTTGCCGCTCCATCTCCTCATGCCCTCTGAACCTGGCTATCATTCTCAAGGGTCTGGTTTTGGTTCCCAAACTCCCTGCCCTTGTGTAAATTCCATCTATTCATATCACTTCAATTATCATCTGCGCTGATGACAGATGAAAAGCTCCACCTGCCTCTAACCACTCCCTCAGCATTCTCATGTTTGTGTTCTCTCTCACTCTCTCTCCTCCTCTTCCTCCTTCTTTTCGCCCCTACGTAGTTGCCACCTCCTATTGATTATATCACTATACCATCTCCTAAACCATCCTAATTCAGACCCACATCACTCTTCACTGGTCCACCTGCCTGGAAAGCGTATGTCCTCTCATTTATTCTTCGTATCAATCTAAATACTCTGCCTAGTGCATTGCTCTGGTCAACACGACTTACCAGCTGTGTGACCCCGAGCAAGTCACGTCACTGTTTGCCTCAGTTTCCTCATCTGTAAAATGAGCTGAAGGAGGAAATGGCAAACCCAACTTCACTGTGAGATCTGTAACCTCAAAGTCATCCTCAGCTCTAATTTACCTTCCCTCACTTTGCCCCATCCAATTCACTGTCAATCTTGTTAACTGTCTCTCTACAACAACTTGCCTAAGTCCTCTCCTCCCTGTTCCCACTGCCACCACCTCTTGCCTGGCTCTACTGCCATAGCTTCCTAATCGATTTGCCTTCCCTCCCTGATCCATCTTCTCAAAGCTACCAAACTGATATTCTGAATGCAGATCTCGCCATGTCACTCCCCTACTCCACAAGTAAATTTCAGTGGCTCTCTACTGCCTTTAGGGAAAATTACAAAGTAACTCTGTTTGGCATGTAAAGTCCTTTACAATGTGGTTTGAACCTACATTTCTTGGTGGATTTTACTTTATTACCATCTTTTTTTTTTTTAATCACCTTTTACATGACATTCCATCTCTTGCCTGAAACACTTCCCTTCTTCCTTCTACCTCCCAGAATCCCCAGGCTCCCTTTCACAGATTAATCAGGGGAAATGTTTTACCTATAACCTTCCAACCCCTCTCATCCTTACTCAGTATTTACTTTGCATAAACTCTCTATTTTTTTAGTATTGTTATTTTTATTATATTCATGAGCACTGAATATTCCTTCAGCTACAGTTATCTGTTGTTCTTTATTTCTTTTTTAAATTTTTAATTAATTTATTTTTAGTTTTCAACATTCACTTCCACAAGATTTTGAGTTCCAAATTTCTTTCCCATCTCTCCCTCCCACCCTAAGACAGCATGCATTGTGAATAAATACCCTTTCCCCAATCTGCCCTCCCTTCTATCACTCCCCCTTATCTTATCCCCTTCCTCTTCTATCTTCCTGTAGGGCAGGATAGATTCCTATATCCCTTTGCTTGCATGTCTTATTTCCCAGTTGCATATAAAAACAATTTTTAACATTTGTTTTTAAAACTTTGGGTTCCAAACTCCCCTCTTTCCTCCTTCCCCACCCACCCTCAGTGAGAAGGTAAGCAACTTGATATAAGTTATACATGTATAGTCATACAAAACACTTCCATAATAGCCAAGTTGTAAAAAACTAACTATATTTCCCTTCATCCGATCCCACCCCCAACCCCATTTATTCTATTCTCTCCTTTGATCCTGTCCCTCTTCAAAAGTGTTTGCTTCTGATTACCCCCTCCCGCAATCTGCCCTCCCTCTCTTATCCCCTTCCCCCCTATTTTCCCATAAGGTAAGACAGATTTCCCTACGCAGTCGGAAACGCTGCATTTTTCATCTCTGTCCATATTACTGCCCCAGTCGAATGCAAGATTCTCTTTTATTTTTATCTTTGTATCTTTGCCTTTAAAAATCCTCAACGAATTTAACTGAACTGAATAATGAGCCTGGGAGAGCCTGATCCACAAGGATCCCGAGGTCCACCCTAACATCTCTTCCTAGGAAATCAAGCAGCTTCTAACGAGGACTGATGCCACGACCACAGCATCTCCTAACCTGAAAAATATTTTCAGATGTCCATCACCACTCCTTCTTTCCAAAGAGCAAAGCTGATCCAAGCATTCAAAACAACCACAGTGTACATCCATTAGGAGGTAGTCATAACCTGCATGCTTACAGAGAAATCCTGAACCTGTATTTCAGTCATGTCTGACATTTCGTGACCCCATTCAGGGTTTTACTGGCAAAGATACTCTAGCTCATTTTACAGATGAGGAAATTGAGGCAAATAGGGTTAAGTGACTTGCCCAGGGTCATACAGCTACTAAGTATCTGAGGCCACATTTGAACTCAGAAAGACAAGTTTTTGTCTCAGATTCTTAAAATCTAGCCAATAGTGCAGACTCACTAGGAATCTCATTCCCTCCAGTCAATGTTCTAATAAATCTTGTCTTTGGCTGAAAGAAGGCTTGAGTCAAATTCATTCAGGCAGGGCCCCTATCTCACTGTTTCAGGTCCCAGCACCCATCAACCTCAACATTTTGGTGGCCCGAGTGGGGAAACTGCGTAACCCTAAGCTCTTCTCTCCCTATTCACCTTCTTGCCCTGCAGTTAGGGTCACTCTCCAAGCACCTAGGAAGGTTTGGAGGTGCTTTTCAGACAAACAGTTATGAGGCTGTCCCATACTCGGCCTGACACTTTCAGGCTCTCAGTCCACTGGTTTGGTTCGAGGCCATGGACCTGGGCATACCTTCTGCAGCACAGAGGACAAGGATGGATGCCCTATGAGGAAGCATATGCCCAGTTCTGTCCATTCTCTCAGCACCTACACCCTGGGATCCTCCTTCATGGAGGCTACAAGGGAAAGTTAGAACAGCTACAAACATCCTAGCAGATTACGGAGGTTTTGTGATTGATCATAAACGAGTTCTGAAATGCCTCTTCACGACCCTGGTCACTTCCTTCCTGAACTCCCTTCCTTTGGGTCAAGAGGGTGTCTCTGTTAACCTCTCTCACAGAAGGGAGTTTCACCCTTCTCCCCAACCTTTGAATTCACCCTCCCCAACCTGGTGAAGGGGGGGGGAGCAACTACAGCATGGGCCCCACAGGCGATGGCCTTGGGCTTTTGGGCAACCTTTGCCTGGAAGCATCACCCAGGTTTGGTACATCCTGCTCACCAACCCTACCTCAACCCCCAGCAGCCATGGGGAGAGAGGGAAGAGGAAGGATCAAAGCAAAGAAGCCAGCCAGCCTCAGAACTTGGGTGAGCCCGCTCTTAAGGTTGTAGTTTTAACATGCTGATGATGAGATGCTGATTCTCTGTGTAAAGTAATCTGAAAATGCATTCAACAAACTTGAAGTCACCTGACTGGTAATGGGAACCTTTTTGTATCAGTTATGTCAGGCAACTTCTCATAATTTGGTTTCAGCTAAAACAATATGGCTACTGTTGGTTATTGTTTTAATGTGTAAACTTGTCCAAAAGCTTGTTTGGGTTATGGCTTGCTGAAAATTTGCAAATATATAGAAATAATCTCTAACGATTAGCTTTTTACACCAGGACTTACTTAAATTTGAGATATAAATCCTTGAAAAGTTTTTTTTCCTAAGCTGTGATTAGTGAAACTTGCTGTTTGAGGTCAAAGCTCATGGGACAATAAACGATTTTGAGTTGTCTGATAAAGCATAATAATCCATCAATAATCAGTAATCACCACCTGAGAGAAATGCCACAAGCTACTGAGAGAATGTGATACTGGTGGGAAGTAAAGGACTATTACTCACCTGGCTATTCCTGAATCTGGCTATGAGGTGGATTTGATACTGCATGATTGGAAAACTGAATTATCTAAATTCAAACAGAGCTAAGGATGTTTTACCCTCTCATATCTGGGTCCTAAATCTTGCCCCTGCTTTATCCTTTTATAGCCAATTTCTATAGTCAGAGCAAATAGACGATAAAAGAACAAAGCAAGTATGTGAGATCTTGCTGTTTTGAACTGAATGTGTAGTCATTCGATAACCTCAAACAACTGAAATTAAATCAGAGACTTTCACTCCTTACCCCAAAAGAATTTGGGTCCCATTTGAGTGAGGAATGATGGGGATGAGATCTGAACCCCTAAAAGGAAAAGACCACATCTTTGGGATCTGGACCCCAAAAAGGAAAAGCCCTGGACTTTCCCCAGTCGCTCGCTCACATCCCTGGCTCTCACCTGAGAGAACCGCCTGTCCTAGCATTGTGGCTTTGACCCTGCCCCAGTCTTCAATTCTGACCCAGCCCAACTTTCACTGTCTGTTACCTTGGGCCACTTCCCACCCTTAATCCTATCTAGACTCCATTTTCCCTTGGCCACATGGTCCAGGTCTCTGGCATTCTCTGTTACCTTACAGCCACCTTAGACGACTTGGCCACTCCTAGATCCCTCCCCACAGTCTTTCTATATATAAGATCCATCTCACCTCCATTAAAGGGTTCAGATTCTCAAAATATGGCCAGTAGTGCAGACTCACTAGGAATCTCACTCACCCCAATCAGTGTTCCAACAAACCTTGTCTTTGGCTGGGGGTTTAAAAAAAAAAAAAGATGAGTCTTCCTGACTCCAGGCCCAGCATTCTATCCACTGCACCACCTAGCTACCCTCTACGTACTTTGTAGCATCCTACTGATTGGGGTGAGCGGGATTCCTAGTGAGTCTGCGCTACTGCCCCCACAACTTTCAAATGTTCATATTGCTAATGTACTGGTTGTCACCCAAAACATGCATTTTCCATCATTTAAACTCAAAGAACCAGGGGAAAATAAAAACTTCCAGGTAAATTATCAGAGACCTGAACAATTTCAGAAATACTTGGTAAACATCCTTACTGCTTGCCATTGAAACTATCTCTGAAAAGTAGTCAAGACATTTTCATAAAAGTCACTAATGTTTCATGCATATATTTTAGAGATGTTTCATGAAAAACCATCCCAAGCTAATAATCTTGAAAATAATTGATACAATAGTTTGATTCTGATAAAACAAGAAAAGATACTCTAAAATATAGCACAGGCAAAAATCACAAACAAAAAGGGCAGGACTGAAATTGAACAGAATAGCTAAAAGATGAGATCTAGATTATCAAGTAAAAAAACATTTTATACAATGAGTTTCAAAATGACATTATTTCTCAATTTAATTATCATATATCTTATGTGTAAATAACTATATTTCTAGATTACCACTTCTTAATTTATTTTGATAACTTGATCCCATTTATAAATAATACATGAGTATCTAAGTATCTAATAATATATGAGTATCAAACCTTTTAGATAAACAAAAATCTCAGAAATTCAAGTATGTTTAATAAGTAATTAAGCACTAATAAAAATTACCTGAGAATATGAGTTATGAGCAGCATCTGAAGTACATGGAATGGGTAGGAGAAACTTTCTCGGAGGGGTGGAGTCCACATCACACGTGTAGCCTAAAAACAATAAACTTCTTAGTTTATTGTATATGTTACTGCACTTAAATACTATTGGCAAAAATCATGACTCATAAATTTCTTATTAATATAAGTAAATAACTACAATATATCCTAAGTCTGGCTCTTCAGGTTAAGTTTCCCAGTCCTAGAAACCAAGACTTAGTTCTGCAAGCAGAAAGTCCAGGGACAAGAGGACACAGGCTAAGGGGACAGTAAAGACCTAAGGGTCACTGGTACTAGAGGGCCAGAACTGAAGCTAGGAGGTTAAAGGGTTGGGACCTGTAACTTTAGCCTAGACTTGTTCTTAGACATGTCAGGTTAGATATTTACAAACACCAATGGAGCCTGCATATACCAAATTCAAAAATTTGTGCAAATCACTGGTAATTCCAGAGGCTTCAGCATTTGTAAGCTCTCTTAAAATAATCATCTGATAGACATCAATGTGTTTGTGAATTATTGAAATAATATATAAAAATCCACCTGATAAGTTTGGAACATAAGTTAGTTCTCTCAAAATCCCCAAGTAAAATCTTTATAAAAGACAAATTATTTAGAAAATTACATGGAGCATTAAGAATTGGTATAGTTGCCTCATGTGATATAAAATATGATTAACTAGTAATGAAATTAAAAGATCACAAGACCAAGAAAAGCTAATGTTGTCAAAGTGTTACATAAAATTTAAAATTTTTTGTTAAATTGTGATAACACTACTGTAATAATTTATTTAAAAGCTGTTCTATTTAAATATGATTTTTAATGATCAACAGAAGTCAATCTTAAACAAAAAGCTCCAGGTTGCTGAGGAGTGAGGAGTCCTTCTGAAGTGAAAGTCATTGGCTTGAAGAATTCCAGAGAAAGCCCCTAATTTCCAGGGTGAAGGCGCCACAGCCCAAGGAGGCAGAGTAACTAGTCCAGGATCACACAGGCATTGATCTGGGGCTTCCAAATATGAAACCAGTACAAGGTAATCTCATTGTTATATAAAAAGTAATGTTTACACCTAAACCAGCTGGATCAGGTTGTATGAGTATAACCCTTCCTGACCAGGGTATAGACTCACAGGGGATTTAGGATTTTGCTTATGGATTTTATTCAGTTTTTTCTTCTGACTGTGGAAGGAAAAAGACAAACATAACAACAAAAAATGGTCTGGAAATTTAAGTTAAAAAAAAAAGATAAGGATGCAAAATTATATCTCTTCCTGGTAAGAACAGATAGCTAAGTAGGGCAAAGTGGCCAGGAACAGGCCATCGGGAGCCAGACAGGCTAAAACGGGGAAATCTTAAGTCCAGTCTATCAAATCTTAGGCCTAGAAGTCACTCCTGGTAAAAACAGAAAAATGGTTGTTAAATCGTAGATAGCTCTCATATAGAAAATCAGAGCTAAGTCAGATGATGATTAATAATAAACACCCATTTCCATAGTGATAGAAAGTTAGAAAAGGGGACAGAGAGCACTAAGAATCACCCTGTTTTTAGTCTACTTAAATATATTAAAGTAACAGATATTACTCTAAATGTGAGACTTTTGTCATGTGACCAAAGTGATACAATATTAGATATACCGCATCACCCACACTGACATTCTTGGTATAAAGGGAATCAGAAGGCATAAAGAATATAGAGTTAAATGGAAGGTACTTATTCTAAAGGCAAATACATTTCTAATAGAAATAGGAGAGTTGATTTCATCATGTACCCAACTGCAACAAGAAACATCATGTCTTGCAACGCTTATAGAATCATGCTGTCTTGTAGTACTCAGAATGAGCAAAAGCAATAAAAACAATAATGATAATAATAAAAACTATAAACCAAGTGCAACTTATGCACAGACATCAGTTGCAGAAGATGAAGAAGTAAAGAAATCATACAAGCGGAGAAGATCCTCCAAATCAAGTCAGACTACACCACACAATTTTTAGTAACTTCACTGTGGAGGTAGAAAAAAAGGAAGATGGTGGAAAGTATCAGAAAATACGAATAAGCTGCAATTATATAAGATATCAAAGGCTTATAGATTACATATAAGCCTCATGCTCCTAGACATGAATAAAAATAAAAGAAAAAATCATAAAAACCATAACTACTATACTATAGATAAGAACACTGGAATCAGGAACCAGATGACACTAGTTTACAACATGGGAATCATTTCACAATCACAATCACACAATGCTTGTGTATAGTTAGAATTTAACCGTTTGGAGTAGGTATCAAACACAATACCAATTTTTTTTAATACAGGTAAAAGAACACTGTATGAAATTATGACAGCTACAACCTGACCTTTCAAACAAGCTAATGATTGAAAAATGAAAAAAGGCCAACAAAACATCAACTCTCACCATTTCTTAAAGAAACTTGACCAAAGTAAATGTTTCCAACACAAGGAGGCCAAAACTGCCTCAATCAGCAAAGGCTTAACCTCCTTGCCAAACAGAAAGACAGGGCAGCCAAAAGAAACACCTATACGAGCATAAGTTCATTTGTGAAACATGATAGATGAAGTAGCGAGAAGAATGAGAATAGCATCACTTCACAAGAGAGGAAAGCAGGGGAGAGGAAAATATGTTGGTCATCAGAATTTCATGTTAGGTATTGTTAACTTTTACAGATAATGTACTCTTCTGGGAGGGGGGAGAGCTGTTCGCTTATTGCAAAGGGTTGTGCCCAAAATGTCTCAATTTTTTTTTAATTCAAAAACTCCAAACTGCTTTTTTTTTCAAATAAAAACCTGTCCACAGAAAACTTGAAATAACACTCACTAAACAGACCAGACGTAAAAAGTCACAGATTTGCCAGAATGCTTGCTAGTGATCCATTCTCATTATGGAACCACTTCATTTGGGATCAGCCCCGAACAGAGCTGAAAAGTGTAAAGCAATGTGCACAGAAGTGAGATTCTCCAGATGCTTCTGTTTGCTGATGATATTATGACTGCAGTGTCCTGTAATGTCATAGCACATCCTCAATTAAATCCAGTCATTCAAAAGAGACTACCCTCCCTGTCCAAACAAAGCGCATGAAGAATATATTTAACAAAGTATGACATTCAGCTAGATTGACACCCCACGCGTACACAACTGAGCACTGCCAATGGACCATAATTTAGGCATAACATTAGAAAGAAATGAGAACTAGATTTCATTGGGAATTAGTAAAGTTTTCAATGACCCCAAACTGTTCCCTGCTGCAGAAGTCAATATTTTTAACATGAATTCTCGCCTGGAAATGATTATGAACCACTGAATACCACAATCTCAGAAGACTCAAAACTGCAGATTACCCCAAAGGCAATGGAAAAGTGCACCATGAGTGCAGTAGCCCTTATTCTCCACAACAGCCTGAGTGTGAAAAGTGGTTTACAAACATTAAGGACATGTATAACTGAAAAGAGAGGTAGGCCATACTTAAAAGTGAGGGATAACAGATGGTCAGCTCAGGGCTTACCCTGGTATTCATGCAATCTCAAAACGGTCAGAGTTAGACTGCCAGCGTGCTAAAAATTGATGCTCTATTATGGAAGGATGTGCCATGAATCAAACTGGATGAGTTTCAATTTGCACTGGGAGAGGGAGTACCCACATCAACAAAATCAAAGTATTTTCTTAGAAAAAGCAAGAACTGAGCACAAGAGCCTATCTTGATTTCCCTTCTGTCATCCACTCCTAAGGAATGTTTCTACTCTGGGTCTTGAGTCTCTTATGCAGATGTCTTATATTGCCGGTCACTACTGAAATGACACGCCTCATCAACTAGGAAGCTCCAGCTTTGGGATCAGGAAGATATAGCTTCAAATGCCACCCCAATACATTCTAGCTGTGTGACCCTGGGCAAGTCATTTATCCCATCTCTGTCCTAAGCAACTCTCTCTGACTAGGAGTTACAGAACAGTTTATGAGAGGGAGTGTCCTCCACTATAAAAACAACAGGTCTGATCCAAAGGAAAAAAGTCCCTAGAAAGAAACAATTGTACTAGCCTAGCATTCCTAAGTCTGTTAAATTATAACAGCTGTTTTCAGATTGTTTATTAATGAGTAACATTCTCCCAGTTTCAAAAATATGTTCTCTCATGACCTTACTTTCTCCATTTGGCTTTACCAGTTTTTAAAAAATACATGTTAAGGAAATGTATGGATTCCACTATTTGAGGGGACACTGAAAACCTACCATGTTCTGAGTGCTGTAGGCCTTCTACAGAGCTATTGCTTTTGAGTCAAGTTATCACTTAAGTCCTATATAAAGTTGACTTAAAATGAGCATGATTTTGACATACAGGGATTAGCCATGTTCCTGGTCCTTCCTTTGGAAGACTTTGCTCTACAATTTATTACTGGTTTAGATTAATCTATACTTTAATATGTTGGCTCCCAAGACTAAGAGGTCCCATCCTGTAACAGACAGAACACTTGGCTTAGAGGGAGGACACCTGAGCTCTAGTACCAGGTTTAAAGTTATTTATGTGACTTCATAGCAGTCCTAGCCTCTCCTGAGGCCCTTCCTCTTCTGTGTAATGTGTTAGGTGAACATGATAGACGACCTCCAAAATCTAGTTCAAATGTATAATTCTACAAATCTAGAGACTAGTTTTTCAAATACAAGTTTTCTTTATTATGCTTTCTACCTCTTTGTCTAAAATTATGAATTACTTTTACTATATATATATATATATATATATATATATATATTATATATATATTATATATATATTTAAATAAGATGACAGAATTCAATTAACATTTGACAAGGTCCACATGACACTAGTACGGGTATGGTAGGAGATTTGTTTCTAAAAATAGAACTTTTCCAGGTACAGACAGAGATAGAGATAATCTATGCTTCTTTCCACACTCTAGGCTAACTCTGCAGAGCCCTCTACCTATCAGACACAGAAAAGACTGACCTTACGGACATCCTACCCTCAGTACGTCTCTCTCTGCGGCTTGGGTTTGAACAGGCTCTCGTCTGTGCGGTGAGCTGCCACGTTTTTAAGTTCAGCGTGTGTTTTATATTCTAAGCTCCACGCTCAATGCTACTGCACAAGACTGTGTACCATGTACAGCATATCCCTTCTTAATGAGAGCTCTATAAGATTCCAGAGTGTTGATGAGCTAGGGAATGAAGTCATCCCACTATAAAGTGAGTTCTATATCGCCCAGGACCTACTTGTGACTGAAATGGTCATTTTTAATCCAAAGTACATTTAACTATTCTGGGGAAGTATGCAATCAGAAAATCCCCCGCCCAAATTATTAAGATTAATTGACGGAAAACAAACCTCTCCATGGTTGAAAAAGTAGCACAGTACTGTCATTAGACCTCCTATCTGACTCCCACTACAGAGAAAAAAAGAATTAAAATTACATATACTTAGGTAAAAACTTTGTTACGAATAATTTTGGAACATCATACATATTGAAAAGAACACCTGTAAAAGTAAACACGTAGTTCTCTAAATTAAAAAAATTAGTAAGATAAACTGTCAAATGCACTAAAAGCAAACCAGTTGGTGATAATTTACGCTATTTCATTTTTATATAGAATTCCAAGTACCCATGGTGACTAACATTTCTAGCCTGAATTAATATATTTACACATATTTGAAATCAAAATGCTGGCAATGGTTAAATATTTAACATTTAAATATAAAATATTTGTATATGCCGGTATAACTATAAACAGATATAAACAATTTTAAAAACATAGACTATACATATGTATACATCTAAGTATTATTCTCATTTTTAAAAAAAGTCACCTTGTAAAGCTATATACCATTTATTCTAAAAATTCAAAACATTTTGGGAATTCCTTCTTTTGAACTGCTATCGAAGTCGAAAACTCTTTTCCATATCCTCAGTCACAGCAAATCTTCATCCTTTGAAAGTGGAGTTAGATTTTGGTTTTGTTTTTGAACTGACAAAACTTAGAAATAATCAAATCTGGTGGATATGTAAAATATGTATAGAGGTAAAAATGGAGAGCATTTTTGGTTTAAAAAAAGGCTGATAATAAAGAAATGAAACTGATGTTCTGTTTAGCAAATTAGCTCTGAAAGCAATGCCAAAAGAGTTCTAAAGCTGTCTCGACCAATGAAATCTTTGTAATAAGTTTTCAGCCTCCCAAGGTACTATAATGATTTCGATGGATAAGACATTTCTAAAAATCTTATTACCTTATAGTCACAGCTTGTCTAATGACTATAACTCAGGCAAAATGTGTTCAGAGGGAGAGAAGGTGCCAATTAATCAAATATTCTGTTTAACGTAGAGTCATAGTTTCACATTCAAGTATCATACATGGATTATTCTAATAACTAAAAAGAATCCAGACAACATTGTTCCTATGATATCGTTTCACAATAACATTGTTAAAACAATACGACCAGACCCCAAATCCCATCTAAATGCTGGGAACCCCAGTGGGATGCCTTAGAGGTGATTCTACATCCACTGATAGCATGCCTGTAGAATTAAGTTCTACCTGCACCGCTAAACAACTGAGTAGGGAACAAAGTGCTCAACTTGGAACTATGTTTGATTCCTAGCTCTGACACTAACTAGTTGTCTGACCAATGACAAGTCACATCACCAACTATTGTCACATCACCAACTATTCTGTGCCTCAAATTCCTCATCTACAAATCGTTAATACTTCATTACCTACATCAGGGTTGTTGAGAGGAAAGAGTTTTGTAAGCCTTGATGTGTGTTACAGAAATATCAATGATCACACTTATTATTTTGACTGTTTTCAAAGGACAGATTAAGGTAGACAGATAAACCTTCATTTTCCAAGTGTCCTAAGGCAATCAGGTTGTAGAGGAAGTGACAAAAAAATAAGACTGACTGGAGGGGTAATCAGGGAAAGAAGTCATCAAGGGAGGATCAGAGGATAGAATAATGCCCTATAATTATTTACCTGTCCTTTGCCAATAATTTCTGAAGCTTTGCTTTCTAACTCTATCCCTCCAAACCTACTTGAAAATTCAAGTTCGATATGAGAGGAAAATGGGCTCTGTTTACAATGTTTATGCTACTAATTAAGTGATTCAGACAACTTTAAGAACTGCCCCCCTACTTTTCAAGACTCTCTCTAACTTCTGACATTTCTGAACACACTTTATTTTCAAATATGTTATGTCTCACAGATTTGTTCTTCCTGGGCCCAGAGGAACAGCAGCAATAAAAGTTGAAGAGACAAGAGATTTAGGCTGGACGTAAAGCAACCCAACAGCGGAATGGGCAACGGTCCCATATCTCTCCTTTTCTCAGACAAATTTTTAAAGTCATTTACTCTCAATGCCTCCACCTATTCTTCCTAGTCCCCCGCGTGAGTCACTGCAGTCCGTCTTCCAACTTCATTCACCAACTGAAAGCGCTCTCTCCCAAGTTAATAACACCTTCCTCATCGCCAGATCAAACGGCCTCTTCTCAAGCTTTACGCTCCTCGACTTCTGCTGCACTCGGATCCTCTCGCCTCCCGGGGCTTTCACGGTATTCCTGGCTCTGCCTCCCAGTCTGGCCACTTCTCAACCTCCTTTGAAGCAGCTTAATCCGTCATGCCTGGCGACTCAAGGTGTACTATGATTTTGTTCTTGATCCCTCTCTTTTATCTCTGACCTCATAGCAACCGACTTCATGATCTCCCATGGATTCAACTACTACTCTACGCATGACTCCCAAACCCGTGCGTCCTACCATCATCCCCCCCCACCCCCCGCCAAGTTCCAGGCACACATCACAAATGGTTCACTTGACATTTCAAAGCACTTGTCTCACATGACTGTCAAACTCAACATGACCATGAGAGAACTTACTATCTCGCTCTCCAAAATCACCCTTCTTCCAAACTCCCCAATCATAGTCAAGGACAACACTACTCTTTCAGTCCCCCAGGTTTGCAAGCTTAGTCTCACTCATCTCACAGAACTAATCAGGCACCAAATCTTGTCATTTCTAGCTCTGCATCCAGGCCTCCTCTCAACTTAAAGCCCCCCAAGTCCCTTCCAACTCTGAAGTATAATGATTCTGTGATTTCTTTTAACTTTCTTTCTATTCATATGCTAGAAATCTAGTACAAGTCCACTAGAAATATCTTATTTTTCTCTTTATATTTATTCAGCTAAGCTAAAATAACCTAATATGAGATTAATGGTAATTTGTTGGGGGGGGGGGTGTTAACAGTACGTTTTAAAGGTATGTTGATAACATGGCAAAATCTAATTAGGAGGGATGGGCCTGATTATTAGACCGAAGATTTCTATAAGATGACGTAGAAAATGGTTTCCTATAGCTTTATGTTAACAGATACAGAAGAGAGTAGAAACTTTATGGCATGAAAACAAAAATAAGGATGGCAGCAGAGTACAATGGAAAGAACCCAAAAGTTGAAGTCATGTGATTTGAAAGAGACCTCAGAAGTCACCCGGCCCAGTCCCCTTTTCTCACAAGTAAGGGTTCTCAGAGTCCTCAGCCAGGTGGCATGATCTTTCTGAGCTTCATTTTCCTCACCCGGATCTTCACAGATACTCTCAGCTCTGACCTTCCCATGTTGTTCTGTTGGTGCTTTTCTGTGTACTGCCAGTGCTCACCGTAGTGCCTGGTGCTAGTGAGGTGATTAATGAATACTTGATGACTGAGAAAATGCTAAATAACCCAGACAGGAGAAACTAGGAGTACCTTCTGCCATCCTGCACTAAAAAAAAAGCTTAAGTTGCTAGGAGTCACTGTTTTGTTGACGTTTTATATCACATATATGTGTGTTAGCATAAATTTGAAAAACAAATTATAATGCACATACCACAGCGAGATTTCTGTAAATATTTTAAGCAACAGAATAGAGAATAATTCATTAAATTGAATCATGGGAAATAAAAATGGACTGACAAACTTCATTAACTACAATAAAAGTTTTTCCCCCTCTTCAAGCCATCCTTCACACAGTTCCTAAGGCATTTTCTTAAAGTACTGATCCATATTCCTCCACTGCTCAATGAACTCTTGTGGCCTCTAAGATCGAACAGCAACGTCTTTATCTTTCAAAGGCCTTCACCACCTGGCCCAGCCTCCCTTCATGTGTTCTCTGCAGTCTAGCCATATTGACCTTTTTCCTACTACCTACATGACACACAACACTCCCGCAGACCCCGTTTCTGGGATTTTGCACTAGCTGTGCCCCCCCATGCCTAGAATGCACCCCTCCTTAGAACCCACTGTCAACTTCAAAGTTCAGCTCAAGATATGATTCTCACAGGAACCCTTTCCCCAGGGCTAGTACACCCTCCTCACTCCGTGGCAAATTTCCTTCTGTTTATTTCATATATAGAGGCAATATAGCAGAGCGGATTAGGCTGATCTCAAAGCCAATCCCACCTCGATCACCTATGGCTGTGTGACCCTAAGCAAGTTGGTTAACTTCTCAATGCTCCAGGCCATTCTCTTAGATTGGGAATTACAAGTAAATACCCACCTTCACTGGCAGAGCTTCCTTGCCCAGGGCTCCCTATATATCAGTGACATAATGTGTACAATTCCTATTTTGGGGGATGGAGCCAAAATGGCAGAGTTAGGGCAGGAACTCCCCTGAACTCTCCCAAATTCACCTGTGAACAACTATAAAGTAACACCTCAAAATGAATTCTGGAATGGTAGAACCAACAAAAGGATGGGGTAAAACAATTTTCCAGCCCAAGATGACTTAGAAGATCAGCTGGAGGAAATGCCTTTAGCCCCAGTGCAAGTCAGCAGCAAGGCCCTATGCCCTTGGCACAGCAGGCCAGTGATAAGGCCCTGTGCAAGAAGCTGGGGACAATGCCCCCTCCAGTTCAGAAGCAGAGCCTGACCTTAACATAAAATCAAAAGTCATGAAATAGGCTGGAAAATGGGGTGGGGGGGGGAACCTAACCACAGAAAGTTACTATGGTGACAGGGATGATCAAAACATAAAACTAGGAAGGAGATGACAATGTTAAAACATCTACATGTGAAGCTTCAAAGAAAAAGGTGAATTGGTCTTAGGCCAAAAAGAACTCCTGGAAGAGCTCAAAAAGGATTTTAAAAATCAAATGAAAGAAGCAGAAGAAAACTTGGGAAAAGAAATGAGAGTAATATGCAAGAGAATCATGAAAAAACACTCAACAGCTTGGTAAAGGAAGCACAAAAAATGGAAAAAGATGTACAAAAATCCACTGAAGAAAACAACTCCTTAAAAATAGAATTCGCCAAATGGAAAAGGAAAGACAAAAGCTCAATGAAGAAAACAATTTCTTAAAAATTAGAATTGGGAAAGTAGAAACTAATAACTCTGTAAAGACACTATGAAATAATAAAAACAT